TATTCTCATTCTGTCTGTCTGTCTGTCTGTCTGTCTGTCTGTCTGTCTGTCTGTCTGTCTGTCTGTCTGTCTGTCTGTCTGTCTGTCTGTCTGTCTGTCTGTCTCTTCTTTCTTTCTTTCTTTCTTTCTTTCTTTCTTTCTTTCTTTCTTTCTCTCTCTCTCTCTCTCTCTCTCTCTCTCTCTCTCTCTCTCTCTCTCTCTCTCTCTCTCTCTCTCTCTCTCTCTCTCTCTCTCTCTCTCTCTCTTGTGATTGTGTTGTGTGTGTGTGTGTGTGTGTGTGTGTGTGTGTGTGTGTGTGTGTGTGTGTGTGTGTGTGTGTGTGTGTGTGTGTGTGTGTGTGTGTGTGTGTGTGTGTGTGTGTGTTGTGTTTTGGTGTGTATGTTCACAAGTGTGTATGATATATAATGAACATAAGCATACTTTTATAATTATGCATTTGTATTCATATTCACAAAGTAAGAATGCAAGAACATACATGCATTTAGGTCAACATTCAAGTGGCTTACTTTTCAGAAAAAAGCCCTATGTAGGAATAATACAGATTATGAAAACAGGAAGTTACCTTTCTATTCTAACATGCAATCTAACATACATGTGTTGTGATACCATACAAAAGAGAATTTTTTCTTTGCATTCCTTGTAGACTGAGAAGCAATAGCATGGTTTACAGTATCCTTTTAGCAGCATAATAATATTCCTAAATTAGAGCATGAATATAAAACTCCCTACTACTGCTGTAGATATGATGTAATTCCATAAAGGGAAATGTTAATCCAATTGAGTATTGTTACCTCCAATGTCAAGACAATATTTCTAACAGTGTGTTTGACTTCTAACAAATTATGTTAAACCAAAGTGATATACCCTGTCACTATGACTAATGAATATAGTTACTTCTATTATCATTAGTTTGGGAAAGCCATTCCTTCGCCTTCTTATTATAGAGTGATTGTAAGATACACAGGCTAAAGATACAGTTATAGATAAGGTATCATTCATAAAATTATAAAATGACATATATGGCACCAACTGCTCTTTAAGGGTCATTTTATTTCTAATTGGAATTATCAGAATGAACCTAGTACATGATAAACATCCACTTAACAATCATTCCTGACTGACATTTTATTTACACATTTAAAGATCATTATACCACTTTCCTCGTTTAATGTGTTATAGGATTGCTCACTCCAATATCTGTGATTTGTCAATATTACTTCATTCATCACAGTAGAATTACATCTTCATACCACCTCTCACAGATGAAGATGCTTCGGTGAGCTAAAATCTTCTCCTTGATCTCCCAATCTGACATTTGTCACAAATAAATAGTTTACAGACTTTTTGATATAGAGTCATTACCATTTACAACTGTTTTGATTCATAATATTTTTGCGTATATTCTGGAAATACATGGAATCACAATTTATTTCCCTAAGTGAACTAATTACATGAACACTTTTGCATCTAAATTTAGATAAGTGCACCTAAAAAGGCAATATTGAATAACATTATGCTGTAGTATCAATAGTTGAACATATGCATTCAACAAAGATAATCCACATTTAGAATTTCTATATTCAAGACTGCATACTGCTGGCTTAAATAAAACAATAATCACAGTATCAAGAATAATACTTCACAACACATATTCACCAACAAAATTTGTGCTAAATCACAAATATGTTTATTCATTAGAATAATTTCTCTTTCACTATGGTCAAGATATCTAAAGAAATTTCTCTTCTTTTGACTGATTAAAAAATAATAATAATAATAAAAAATCCAAAGTAAAATCTTCCACAGAGTATCATATTTTCTGGAATACTAGATCGCACTGTAGTCGTGTGGTACATGGTTGAATAAGTACTTTTTGGCATTTCACATAGTAGTTCAAATGCAAATAACTGTTTAACCACTCCCTGCCAGTCTAAACTTATAAAGAAAGTATCAATATACAGTCATATCCTTCTGAGACAATGTGATTTACAGTTGGTTCCACTATGTGTTCTGTTGAGAACCAACACCATTTTTGCTTCAAGTGGTATTTTGCTTCACAGCTGTATTTCTACACAACTCTTACTTACCACAACCTCTAAAAACTACTATATTATTATAAACAAGGACATTTATGTACTATTTTTTAATGATGTCCAAATAAGCTGGTTGCATTATATGTCTTGACAGAGAATAGGCAGCTTAAAGTGGGTTAAAAGTAAGCTCTTGCCTTGATCAGTGACACACTGTGGGTTGACCAGGGAAATTCTACACCTCATTTGGTGACTTCAGGCACAGATGGGTTAAACCATGCCCCTTGAAATACATGGTACTTGTACATTTATTACCAGTGGCATATTAGCATTGGTCGTCAATAATATGTAACATTAAAAAATTGAATATTTGTTAACCTGATGCCACTACAGATGGCATGTAAGTACATGCCATGCCCCTTGTGAGTTTAGTTTATCAATTGTCTTTACACATAGATGGCTCCACAAGGCTCCACAAATACTTAATCACCAATGAGCTAGTCCTACCTATCTCACCTGTTTACCCCTTTCCTTGATTTTCAGGAATATTGTTTCTTCTTAAACTGCTATTAGTAATGTCAATAACTTTATAATAATCATAACACCTACAGAATAATAACAACAGCATTGATATTTTTAGTAATAGCAAAAAAAAAAAAAAAAAAAAAAGTTGTAAAGCTATCTATATGTAGAAACATTTCACAAAACAGTACTACAGTGAACACTATGCTTTCCCGGCAGCGCTGAACTAAATGAAAAACAAATAACCGATATAAATTAATACTATTATCTGTTGCCTTTTACAGATCATAACAATTTTAAGGTAATAAAATGTCTTTTACAACACAATATGTTAAGAAATGAAGGATCAAGTGTATAAAACTATAATCTGTACATCAAGTGATGGCCATAAATTACATTTACAAATCATACCAATAGTTGACAAGTTTTATCACTGTATCACATCAAGGATAATATCCACTTATAAACATCAAAACTGATAAGAAACCTTTTGATGAAAAAAATCAACATAACTAATTAGTGCAATTATGTCAATTATAACCATCCATCACATTAAACAATAACAGAATGAAGAGTGATAATCACTTATTGAAAGAAAACTCAGGAATCTGCATTTTAAGCAATGTCTTTTAATAATATTAGAACATTAGAATACATTTACTCTTGTTCATCATTTAATTTTGGCCTTTTTCTTTAATACCAATACCATCATAATTTTCTACTACTGATTTTATGCTTAGTAATCATTGCTAAATCTCATTTGCAAAGAAGGAAAAGAAGGGAGACAAAACTGTTAAGCCTTGTTTTAATAGAAATAAGGTAAAATTATTTGATCCAGCATTCATACTTTGAGAAAAAGTTAACAAGATGACAGAACAATCTGCCATGTATGTGACCCACAGCTGTTTGTCTTTTTATAATCATTAACCATTTTCCAAGTTGACTGTGATGTTACCTTATCTGATATTGTTTCATGTAATAATTCAAGTAACTAAAAATCTAATGATTATTGCCATATCAGATGCACCAATCCAAAATGCTACAGTACTTATTCAACACACAAAAACTTGGAAAGTTAATATGATATTAACACTATAGTTGCAAAGTTCACTTATATTGGGGACTTCGTAGGATGGGCTGGGGGTCGGGTTGGGTGGGGATCACAGGTGTGGCATGGGAGGATGGGAGTGAGCTATGGTAAGGTTACACTGGAGAATTTTATTTTTTTCATTTATACATCTACATTACTGAGACAAAGTGTTATAATCTATCAATTAAAATTCTGAGATTTGGAACACACCTATGTATGAAAAAATCTTCCTATCAGGACTCCTATGCATGGAAAAGGGATATCTTTTGGAACACACCACTGAAAACACTTCTCACTTATCTAATCCTTTTCAAGATGAGCATTCAAAGCAGGAATTGAAAACTTACAATCTATATGGAAATGTTTTTTCCATTTTATATTTTTCTTTAGGGAAGATGTGACAAAAACATTAACCATACAGCAATAGTGAAGTTAGCTGTATTAAAGAAAATAGTATGTTTAATTTTTTTGCCATGGTTTATGTATCATTTTACGGCTGCAATCTAACGATTCTATAATATCTAAGTCTAAATTATTAATTATGCAATGTATGAGGGAAATAATCACCTTTTCTTTATATCCAATATTCCTCAATAGTAAGGTATTAAAACTATACCAATAAAAAATAATTCTTAACATGAAAAAGTATTCAGCCCTTGCAAAGATGGTCTTCTATGAATAGGCAGAAAAAAATTCCTAGTATGTCCTCTGATACATAACATTTACTTATGAGCATAGTTGGTGTACCAGTGTAATATACACACATAGTTAAAAAAGAGGAAATATATATATATATATATATATAATATATATATATATATATATATATTATATATAGTGTTGTGTGTGTGTGGTGTGTGTGTGTGTGTGTGTGTGTGTGTGTGTGTGTGTGTGTGTTGTGTGTGAGTGTGAGTGAGTGAGTGAGTGAGTGAGTGAGTGAGTGAGTGAGTGAGTGAGTGAGTGAGTGAATGATGATGAATGAATGAATGAATGAATGAATGAATGAGTGAAGTGAGTGAGTGAGTGAGTGTGAGTGAGTGAGTGATGAGTGAGTGAGTGTGTGAGTGAGTGAGTGTGTGTGTGAGTGTGTGTGTGTGTGTGTGTGTGTGTGTGTGTGTGTGTGTGTGTGTGTGTGTGTGTGTGTGTGTGTGTGTGTGTGTGTGTGTGTGAGTGCATGTGTGTGTGAGTGAGAGCATGTGTGTGTGACTGCATGTGAGTGTGTGAGTGTGAGTGTGAGTGTGTGTGAGTGTGAGTGTGTGTGTGTGAGTGTGTGTGTGTGTGTGTGTGTGTGTGTGTGTGTGTGTGTGTGTGTGTGTGTGTGTGTGTGTGTGTGTGTGTGTGTGTGTGTGTGTGTGTGT